GGGGGGGGGTTACTGCTTACAGATTGCACCCACGAGCAATTATCTTTCCATTGCGCACTAGCACAGCCCCCAGGTACCTCCCAGTTGTCAGCAGCTTTTTTGCCTTCCAAGAGTGCTTCCCTCATAAACATTTCATCGATTTTTCTCTGCTCTGCTTCCAAGTCTCTGTTTCCTCCTTCACCAACTGGGAAAAGCCTGCGAATTTCGGCTGATTTAGTACATTTGCCTATAATCACTTTTCAAAATAAGTGTTTATGCATAGACACTTTACCCCCAATCGCCAGGTGGCCTTACGAGGATTCAATGACATCGTAGAATATTTTGCAAGTCCAACCTTTGACTTCTCGAAATATTTTGAATAGCCAGACAAAAAAAGATGGGGGGCTATTTGTGACATTATGAAAGTCGAAGATAATACAAATACGCAGACATTATACATTGTCTGTAAATTGGACAAACCTCATCGATAGTTTAGTATATCCCATTAAATAAATAAACAAACAAACACAGGGCAGTTGTCTTTAAAAATTCATAAACGACCCTTGAGGTTTGTTTTTGTAGCATGTATACTCCCCCATCAATAGGAGCGATTTTGAAAAGTATTAACATTTCACGAGAACATTTGGAATTTCGAAAGATGAATCTGGGTTTTGTCATAATCAGCACAAGCACATTTCAACTGGACAGTTGACATTTATGAGAACATCATAACAAGGCAAAATGAGTCACGTGCAAAAGATAATAATCGGGAAATTTCCAAGTTAATGACTTTAACTAAAGATCTTTATTACTTACCTAATCCAGCTACCATCGGCTCCGAGGAGCTTATTAGGGGCTCCCCTTACAACAGTGTCTATTCGACCTTGGAATATTGCTCCAGCACACATCGCGCAAGGTTCAAGTGTAATATAGAGTGTAGTTTCCTGTAGATGAGCACAGTTAACTGTGTAAAATATATCTACTTGCCCACTTAATGCATGAAATAAAGCAAACAAGAGAATAGGATTCCTTAAAGTTCAAAATTCAGCCAATGATAAGTAGGTCATGACCCAACAACTATGGTATGAGTAAAAAATACAATCTAAATTTTCTTTCTGACGAGCATTTACAAAACTAAAATAGAAGCAGCTGATTAACATCATTCCTTACTATATGAAGGGAAAAGCTTCATAGATAACCAAATAAAATGATGTTAAACGAACAGAAACATGGACATTACCGAAAGCCTCCATGTCCGGAGCATGTTTGAAGCCTCTCGTATACGTATGATTTCTGCATGAGCAGTCGAGTCACGCATCTCTTCTACCCTGTAAATTTTCATATATAACATAATATTTTACAAAGGAGAAAAAAAAAAGACACACAAAAGCAATAATAGTAATTAAATTAAA